GCGCGGCGCGGCCCCGCGCAAGCTCGCGGCGTGCCCTGCCATTTCGACGCGAAGCTGCAGCGTGCCGCCGAACAAGGGCTCGCTTCATCCTGCAGGACAGAGCGACGCCCACGCTGCAGGGAGATGTGGGCCGACCTTTGTGTAGCCGCGGAGCCAGGCCGCCCGGCGCGGTATCCGGCAGCGAGGGGGTGTTTTACAACCGAAGGGCACTGCCGCGTTCGGTCCCATTCAGGCACGCGTATCTCGTGTCCGGCATCAGCAGGAGCCGCCTGCTCCGCGAGAAAACGCGGACTGCACGATACACGGGGGAGAAACGGGGGCCCGCCAGACGGTCCTCTCTGCATTTTTCAACCAGCGTGACGTTGCTCAGAGGTATGCGGCTGGCGCGTGAACAGTGCCGTAACTGGAATGACGCATCTGAGAGACGCAATTGTCGAGGAGGGAAGTCAAAGGGCTGTTTGAAATGTCAATATCAAAGCCGGATTTTCCCATTCACCTGATGATTCAGGGCTCCTCTATCTCTGCTTTGTATTTGCCCCCAGTACCAGGAAATTCTCTCTAGTTTGCTAAGACAGAGTAAAAGGACAAATGTTTGTTTCTGAAGCAAGTACACTTAACAATTCCCATTATTGCAACATCTTCAATGTCAAAGACACTTGAGAGCTGGCTCTCCAGCCGCGAGCTCTCCCGCGCGCTGCCCCGCGGACTCCTCGCTGCAGCAGCCCGCGCCCGTCAGGCTTTTGGCCGTGCGTCCCCCTGCCCCAGCCCCTCTCCGGTGTCAGGTTTTAGCCTCCCTGGCACGCTGTTTATCTTGACAGGTTCTTCACCAGTGACCCCACGGCTGCTCCTCCTCGATACCCGGGAGGGGACACGTCCTGCCCTGCGCTCGCGTGGCGCTGGACGGTCGCTCCGCGGCCCCCAAAGCCCCTTGCCAAGGAGTCTGTTTTCACCAAAAAAGCACCTCGCTTGACCCAAGGGGAAAGGGGCCGCTGGCAGAGGGCCGGGCAGTTCCCGCCGGGCGTCCTGGCCCTGAACGAGGGAGCTCCATTTCACTAACGCCTGAAGAGCTTTGAGATTTGCAGGTTGTCCCAACGTGGAAGGGTGGAGAAAGAAACATCCCAAAAGATATCAGAGTGCTAGCTCGCCCAAAATACAGCAAGCACTTGTAGGAACAAGGGCTCTTTACTTTTTAAATCTTTCCTTTCTTTTGCTCTATTTTCAACCAGCTCTGCCTGCTGATAAAGTTCAGTTTCCTCCACCCATTTCTGAAGCAACGCCTAGCAATTAAATTACCATTCCTATGGCTATCACTACTATAAAAACCTCTTGAACCCACTTAGTCAAAGCCATGATTTATACGCACAGAGCTGCCTTCCAGAATCCTAAACTAAGTGTGGCCAATTCCATTTAGGCAACTGAGTCAAACCAGATCTGGAGAACATTTGTTGCGAGCCGTGACCTGGCAAAAGACATAAAAACAGGTCGCTCTCATCTCTTTCCTACCCTGTAGGATACATTTTCCCTCTAAGAAGCTTGGACACTGCATTAGCATCAGCCCAAAATTCTCATCTCGCCACCTTCTGTTCTTGATGCTCAGTGCAAACGCTGCATTTTGTCTCCCTTTGGGGGTCTCTGAGGCCCTTCACAGCTCCCGTTTCAGCCTCGCACCAGGAGAAGGGACTGTGCACGACGCAGGTAAAAGATCGGGAGCACGGTCCCTTCAGTGCTTGACCCTTGCTGCATTTCACCGGGGTTCAGATACCTTCAGCCACCAAGAACTCACCATTGCAGCCTTCCAGGTTAGTCCAAGTCTTATTTCCAACCGCTCGGGGTATTGATAACACACTACGAGTGACTATAATGCCCCATTGACATTTGGTCCCTCAAATACGTTGTCAAAGGGAGAGCCTCCCAACCGGGCAGATCACAATGACTCCGTTGTGATCCCCGGGCCCGGCAGCCACGGGCCCACCACAGTCAATGGCTGGGTTTTATGTAGCTCGGCGATGTCTTGGACGCTGCCGTTTGTCAGCGCGCCGCTCCGAGAGCCAGAGCAGGGCCAGGGGAGACTCGGAGCATTTAGCACACTTGTACTGGCATTACAAGGGCTCCAAAGATGGGGTAGTCAATGCACGT